TGGTAATGTTAGGGTTGGTCTTTTTTTATTCCGGCTTTCCAATCATACAAAAATACCATTTTTAGGAATGTCGATAGCCTTTAAAAAGTGAAACAACTTTATTGTCAGCTTAAGATTTATTTGTCTTTCATCTCACTACTCCCAATAGGGCTGTTCCTATCATATAATAACAACTCACAGGAACAAAAATCAAAGTAGATATAACAGCTCAAGTCGATCATTGCAGCAGACAAGTACAACACTATTGAAAATAGGAACAGCTGTGGTTAGCAACTGGACTGGATTATGCATCAGACTGTGCATTGAGAGTGAGAAGACAGGAATACGCTGAACCACCGATAAGAAGACTCTAGAAGATCTGGATTTCGCGCGTGGATGATTTGTGTTTAATGTCACACAAACTCGAAGACTTGCAAGCAGGCGAAAACCAACAAACTGACTGAAGAGGCTGACATGCAGCGAAGACAGCACTTCAGGTGAACATAGAGAAGACGGAGGTGAGGAAGATAACCACCCAACAGCAACAGAAGCAACAACAGTCAGCACCAATCACCATCAACTGGAGAGATTTGATAGTGGTTACTTTCTGGTTTCACTTATCTAGGAAGTAAGGTTTCATCCACAGGTGGTGGCACGGATGAAGATGTCAAAGCTAGCCAGAATTGGAAAGGCAGTGTACGCCTTCATCAAGCTGAAACCAATTTGGAATTCTTCTACACTAGTTCAGCCAGTATAAAGAACAAGATTTGCATTATATTCAACACATATGTGAAGTCAGTCAGTAAGTTTTTCAATACGGGTGAGAAATTTGCACTGAGTGTCACGAGAAGGATTTCCAAAAGGCTGCTGCAGACGTTTATCAACAGCTGCTCTTGCTGGCTCCATACTGAAGGTCAAATAGCCAGCTGGCCAGAAAGAATTAGCAAGAAGAAACTCTGGGAACGAACCAATCAAGAGTCAACTGTTCAACAAATATTCCAAAGAAATTGGAGAGGAATTGGTTACAGGCTGAGAAGACGGTCGAATAACATTGCACGCCAGGCCATCTCCCTAGTGGAAACCAATTGGGAACCGATGAGCAGGCCATCACTTCAAGGGTTACATTGAGGAGATCGTGTGAGATGAAAAACTATGGACAACCGTGAAGCCAACTAAACATGACTGCAGAGAATAGAACAAAGTGGATATGTGCTGTTGAAGCCCTACGCTCCAATGTCAGCGACACTGAAACTACAGCACACTGTTCACCAAACAGCCCTTCCACGCATAGGTGTGAATAGGTGGATTATATAAATTAAATGAATACCTTACCCACAAGCTATCCACTGAGAATTAGGTGAGGCGGCAATAGATAAGCCATTTGTACTAGCTTGATCAAACCAGTGATGAATAATTCTAGCTTTATTACTGCGCAGATCAAAGACATACACGGAACCTTCAGCTAAAATTCAAAATAAAGCAAAAACAATCAAACTTTTCATGGTCAATCGAAATTGTGATACGAAAAAAGGATGATTCATAGGTAAAATCTAAGTACAAGATTGTCTACCTAGAACGTTTCATCACAAAATCCATATGAAGGCTCAACCATTAAAACCTCTCACACTTTTGCTCCAAAAAGGATTTCTCTACTAGAATCTACAATTCAGCGGAGACTCATCAGCAGACATACTGAGAAATCGCCTGTCCCGCTTTCACTGGTGATAATAGGCAACCTTCTCAGGCATAAAATAAAACTGTTTAATGTATAATTATAGGCCAAGTGAATAAATACACACTACATGAACCCAGGAGTACTTCCATGAGAATACTATATCATGCCATTACTACTCTGTAATAAGAATGAAGAAACACAAAACACCAGCCGCATTTTAAAGACGACAAATATTTACTTTTATTTAATTCAATTTTAGAATTTCCTGCCAATTGATTGGACCGAAGTGCTCGGTATCAGGTTGATATGTCGGCTCCTTGTACAGATGCTCCGACGATGTTTGGTCATGTAACTTGAAGTCAATTGGTGGTTGGTGATTAGCAGTGAAGTCCAGGATGCGCATTTCGTCCTATTTGGGACTCGTCGGTCAGCTGGATGTACCTGCATTCCCCAGTGAATTAAGTAATTAATAATACCCGCTGCACAAGAGGTGGCTCTCATCGCCCAAGTGGTCTAGTGGATATCACTTTGGCATTTGGAATTATGGGCACTGGATTCGAGACTCGGTGAGAATACCGTCACTCACTGGGGAATGCACATCCTGGATTCCACCACTAGTCACCATCCACCAATTGACTTCAGATACTAACTTTGCTTAAATAGTGTTCTTCGTTCCATTAAGTTTACTAACCAATATGAGATTCACACGTTGTCAGACGAAAACTTAGCATGAACTATAAAAAAAAGTTGTAACATATTTGAATTATTATTATGTTCATATAAAATAAGATGAAGTATCACGTGACAATGTTCAATAAATCTATTTTACTACCAATTTACCTCCATAAGTATGTAGAAATGTTCCCTCTTGAGCGAAACAAAGTGAATTGATCATACCGCTACCGCGCATGAATGCGACCTTTTCCAAACTCTATGAGGATAAAAGGATATAAAAGCAATATACAGGAGATTTAACCAATTATAGGGTAAGAACTAAGAGGAAAGAAAACATACACAAGTTAAACGCTAACTCATAAATTATTGTAAATTACTGTTCGCTCTGTTAACTTCAGAAAGTCGAATTTTTAATGACAATTTAAACTTTAAACTCTAGATAAAATATTAGTTAAGTTAGTGAATAATAAACATACACAATAAACCTAGGAGTACCGGAGAGGATTAGAGAGGTTTCGTGTGCACTTCGGATTGTGAGGGCGATTGTTACTTCCCGGTTGCCCACACCGTGGAAGTTGGTTGCGTGACCGCAGAGCACAGGGGACAACTGCTTGAGGCCGGTCACACACGGCCTGTTTTTGTTTGTTCTTTTTTATTTGGTGTGTCTCAGTAGCGTATTTATCACTTCTGCCTTGTGACACGGCAGCAGGAAGCGCGGTCGTTGTTGATCCGGGCCCCGACCGAACCGGCATGATATTTTGTGTTTTTGTTTGAGTCATGGCATTGGGTTGGGTAGCTACTTTTTGTCTAACCGCTATCCAAACAACCTTTTTGGCATGGTAGGACCTACAGGAACTTAAGTTCCAGCCAGTGTAGCTCGTTGGGTCACTGCGATATGCAAGCCCGACCACCACGTCAAGGTAGCAGCTTTCGGTCGGGGTACAATATTCAGGTTAGGCGTCGAGTGCTAGGTAAGGCGGGGAAATCAATCGATGAGACTGTGAAATTACATCGACTGAGATGGTTAGGACATGTGTTACGTATGCCTAGTCATCGCCTTCCTCGACTTACGGGAAATGTTAGCTGATATAGGGCCAGGCTGGAAAAGAGCTAGCGGCGGTCAAACGAAAACATGGCACCAGTCAATGAAATCCACAACAGTTAGTCTAAGCCACGTAGGAAGATGTAGACTTCCTGGTTGGGATCCTCGGAACGGTAAAAACGAATGGTTGGAAACAATTGGTGACATGGCTCAAAATCGTTCTCAATGGCGCAGATGCATCCACTCCTTGTGACTTATGATTTCCAATTAAACTGTTTTGTTCTCCGTTATTACTATTCCTTTGTCTCACACCTCTGTTTACTGTCTCTATTATGCAGTTCTTCTACTTTCTTCTCTTGCTTTGTGTGCTACATGGAGTGTGGCGACTTGAACTGCCGCACATATGTGCAAAGTTCTATGTCGAAAACCGACCGACCGAGGAGTACCGGACATATGTTTCGTCTTAGTTCGGGACTCTTCATCAGGATGCATCCACTGGAGTTCGATGATGATGATGATGAAATCCTGAAGCTAACCGAATCCCTGCAAACCAACGCTTGAATATTAATCGGATACTCATTAGTGACTAGCCCTATTCAAGCAGGTAGTTACCTGGGTTCTAGTGAGAATTCGTGTCCAGTAGGATACAGTAGGTCGGGTATGAAGGCAAATACTCGCCACAGTTGACATTGGTTAGTGGTCGCACTATATCGTGGATTGATTTGGTCGGGTCCCAGTGACTGGATGGTCTACGAGCTCTCCTTGTAACAGGAAGGTCGTGGGTTCGAACCTTAGCAGCGGGTGCGTACTGGTGATGAGTCCCAAACAAGGATGAAACAGCTGTCCAGTACTCCCAGCTGGTTTCCCAATGGTTTTCTAACGGATGTCTGTTCATGATCTAATCCTGAAACCAATTAAATCCCTGCAAACCAACACTTAAATACATCATAAAACTAGCAAACTGACATATAACCGTCTACAAGATTTCTACTCGCATAAATGTACTTTTAGGTAATAATGGAGAAGATTTGTAACTCAGGTGGATGATTCTGGTGTAGTTGTGTTATTCAGAGCACTGAGGATGTTGTCTAGGAAGATCATGAAAGCTTTGCAACTAAAGCATCAAGTTTTCAGAACACAAATACAACAATGACAATACTTTCAAGTCGACAGATTGAATTGTTTTGCATTGCGATTGAAGAACATCTAATGAATTTTTGAACAAGCGAGAGTATTCAACCTCAAAAATTGTGTGATTTGTGCAGATATTTTAAATCAGTAAGCTGTTGAAATGCATTTGGACACGGAGAATCAATGTGTTCTTCCTAAAGCAGCATCATTACGTTTCTCTTTCCACACACTCATTGAGTGCCTCTTTGAAGCGTGACAATTTGAAGCGAAACACTTTTGTGTAAGTCATGTTTTCTGACTCAACTGGAAGTCATATAAAGTCAAGTCACCAAAAACACCCATTGAGTCATGAAGAAAATGAAAGACAATTCATACAATGAAATTTCCTTTATCGACGAAATCATCTTCAGAGGCTGTACTGTACAGTCATATTTATATTCACCAAAAATGTATAGCAGTCCACCATTCACTAATAGGGGTCACACAATTCATATAATTACTTAGAAGTGTCTTCAAAAGTAAAAATAAAAGTTATAAATTGCATCATACTCAAAGGCACAAAGGAAGAAAGAGTTAGAAATTTGATATGGTTAAAATTGTTAGTGGGTGAGAAGAGAGGTAGTTGAATGTCCGTTTAACAAGTGTGAAGAGGGTGAGAAAATGTACAAAAGAAACATGTGAGAGTAATAATAGTGAATTAATTATTAAAGCAAAAGCAAAGTGATCATTAAAAAGTAAAAATAGATTTACAGGGAACGACCAGTGAAGAGGTTAAGACATTGGTAGAATAAGAGACTGGACAAACGTTTTCTGTATACAGAGTTCGGTGTTGTGTACTGACGAATCACCAACGCCTCTGCCATACACAAATGCCGAAACCTGACGCCCTTTGTACCATTTTGCCTCACCTTGTAGATAATCTTGAAAGACAGCTCTAGTGGAGCTGCGTGACTTGAGTTAAACAGTGGAAAACCGGTAAGTAGCAACTGAGACTGTAGCTAGTTTATTTTGTAAGTAATTTATTTACATATTACCACTTATCAACAAACCCTATACATCGTAACAAATGTATTGATTTCTCTCTAAAATCACTGATTTCAAGGCTCCAGAACAGAAGTGAGTGCAGAAGTGCAGCAGTTCCAGTTGCTACACTCCATGTAGCATACAAAGAAAGCCGAAAGAGAGAGAAAGGCATTCAAAAGAACGACAATAAGCAGAAATATGTGGGAGAAAAAATAGTAACATGAAAAAACGACAGGATTCGTTTGGATATGGCAGATCACAGAGTGAATTCTTCTGCGACACTGAGAACGATTTTCAGCCACATCACCAACCGTCTCCAGCCATTGGGTTTTAGCATCCCGAGGACCCCCCCCCTCCGAACCAGATAGTCTACACTTCTCTACATGGATATTCTTTCTAAAGTGAGTATCCATAATCTAGATAAATTGAATAGGCTACATTATGATAACCACAAAACATGCTACTTTTAATTAACAACTTACCCGTAAATCAGCTAAGTATACTGTACTACCATTTGTTCCAAGAGCAGCAAAATTTGGAGAAGCCAGTGAAATTGCACACTTATTGATCACTTCATCATAAGGCATACCAATGAATCGCCTTGCACGACTTTCACTCCCAGTTTCTAAATTGTAAATCTATAAAGTACACAAATAACGAATTAAAAGAGCATAAAACAAGGAAAATACGAATGAAAACAAAATATGGCAAAGAACAGTCTCCTGTAAGCCAATAGATGTGATTAAGAAACATGTTAGGAATCATTACTTTAGCCTGATTAAATAATCATGTAATAGTAACTAGTTGACCTAAATAAGTCACGGGGATCGCCTGTTTTGACCAGAACTGGACTTTGCACAGATGTACAGCAGTTCGAGTTCCCACTCTCCTTCCATGTAGCCCACAGAGCAAGAGAAGAGAGTAGAGAGAAATTCCAAAGAGACATAATAAACAGAAATGAATGAGGGAAAAAGAATAGTAATATGGAAAAACAATACAATTTTATTGTATATTATAAATCACAAAGAGTGAATGCATCTACACCAGCCATTGAGAACGATGAGTTTGAGCCATATCACCAATTGTCTCCAGCCATTGGTTCTTACCATCCCGAGGAACCTAACAAGGAAACCAGTCTACACATCCCTATGTAGCCAGCTGAAACTAACTGTTATGGATTTCATTGACTGATGAAGCCATGTTATGGTTTGACCACCACTAGCTCTCTCTTTTCCAACCTGATTTGTCCTGTGTCAGGTAACATTGACCTTTGAGGAAGGAGATGGCTAGGCATGCACGCATAACAGATGTCCTAATCATTTCAATATACGTAACTTCATAGTCTCGTAGATTGATTTTTCCTTCTTACCTAGCACACGACGCCTAACCTCAATATTGCTCACCTTATAATGCCACTTAACACGGGAGATGGAACGCAGAATAACTCCATAGTACATTGCGTAGCCTCGTACATCAAAAATAATTCTGTATCTATTATTATTAATACCATTTACTTCATTTCTTGTTAAAACCAGCCCACAAGTCACCCTAGTTACCGCATATTGAAAGAGTATATAGTTAAATATTGTTGTGGAGAATTGTGTTGGAAAAGCTGTAAAGACCCTCACTGCTTTCCTCATTCATGAATTCAAAAAGATTAACACTGGTAATTAATTAAGATAGCCTCAGTTCTCTAGATTGATAACAGTGAAAATGGAGTGAAAACCCGGATTCCAACCGGACTCAAACCAAAGACCACTCAGCTACTACAAACCACTGTACCATACCTGAAAACCGATGCAACCTCGGTCTCTGACTCAACCTCAGTTATTACTTTAATATTACATATATAAATATATAGGAAACTGTAGTGGGAAATGTTTTGAAACGCGTGAGTAAACAATAATTATAAGAACTCATCAACACGAAAAAATATGATGCGTGGAATTTTCAAAATTAGTTCAACTATAGACACCTTTACTTTATCAAATAGCACATGGAAGCAGAAGGAAGTATGAGCTAGTGAAAATGAATTTGGGGAGAAAAGAGCAAGAAGCTCAGAAAATGCATCTTTGAGGAGATTCCTCGGCTCCTTGTTCTTTTCTCTCTAATGCTCTGATGGGTAATTTTCACGACTAAAAGATGAATTATTGTGCCACCTTCTAAGACTAAACCAGTTTGTACTGAAAGCTTAAAGAATCGGAAGTCAGACCAAAATAACTGAAATTTCACAAACGGCCACTATTCTTCAGCTAAACACCATACATTCACATACAAAAATAAACAATTTAAGATCTCTGCATAATAAAATGTGAGGTGCACTGTTTAACATAGATCCGTTAAAATTACTCACTCGGAAAGAACCGGTATTTCCAGTGAAAATAACCTTGTCACCACATGCTGTAAATTTAGCTGAGGAAATTGAGAAATTTTCATATACACGGTCTCTTAAAAGTGCATTTTCAGAACCATCAACCTATAATAAGATAAAATATAATACAACTAGCAGTTAAAAATTTTATCATTGTCCATACATAATAATAACTTCCAATGAAGCTTTGCTTAACTGACAAGATAACTGAATCCAACCAATATGACCAGGTTTAAATACACATGCGCATACACTTAAGCGACTCACACATAAGAGAAGGTATTATCAATGATGAAAACGGGAAACATACGTCGAAATAATTGAGAAATAACCACTTGGTGGACTTCAGAATTACAATCTACAGTCTACTTCATAATATTACAAATGAACGGATGTCAAAAGCTTTTCTGCAGTGGCAGAGACAATTGTTTTGCTGTTAATCAAACTGTATAAATACGTATACCTAATTTACTTATATTTATTTACACTTACTGAATTTTCCCTATGTTGATGTGAAGTATAGTCCGACGAATAAATGTATCAAGATGGTATATATTTCCTTCATGACTCAATGGGTGTTTTCGGTGATTTTTAAATGACTTTATACCCTATAGCTGCATGACTACTTCCATATATCACTACATACAAATGAAGTCAGTACAAACTTATTATGTAAGGGATGCCTAGCACAAATTTAGTGCTGGATAGAATGAAACCCGAACCCAATACTTATTGACCGGGAGTGCTTACTAAATTGAGAAGCAACCATTTCATTACTCAAATCTAACCCCAAGTCAATTTCAGAGGATGGATCCTCATAACGAGACCAGTAGTAGTGTCCGAAAACGCAGCTAACTGCAAGACTGAATACTGCATCACGTGATACTCCCTGCTACAGGAATATTTCCATTGAGGGTACCAAATTACATAGTTTAGGTCAGCGTCAATTATAAAGTGACCTTTTACTGCAACAGAGTTAACGCTGATCCTCTACCTTAATAGATAGAATAAGCAGATCAGTCTCAAAACAACTAAATTTAAAGAAAAACGGAACAATCCCCGTCAGAATTAGATTGTACGCATTAACAATCTTCCATTGACGAAGCATACTGTCCACATACTCAAGAATGAGATTTTCTGTAATTATTTCTACAACAGAAAAATTTTCACCTGAACTGATCTATTGGGTCACTGATAGGTTTGTTCGATGTGGGTCCTGTAGTTTAACTTCCCTATGACACCTGAACCAGTTTATTTTCCTGTGATACGAAAAATACCTTCTACTTATTATTAATATAGATTCTTAACAACAAAACACTATTAAAATCCCACTTTAAAGAATCTACTGGGAATTTTCCGAATAATTTTCGATTTGATAAGATTGCATATGAATAAATTAGCATTTAAAAACATCAAGTCCACTATACTATACTCAATAAAAACGAACTTTAGAAATTACACTTTACGCTTAAATACCTTGAAAAATGCCATAGTGCTATCGACGCTTGCGGTCAAAAGCATGCGATAATGTGCATTGAATTCTGTTGCTACAAGAGAAGCCATGGATCTCCTCTCACGGTTGGCATCATAAAGTCTTCTCACTCCAATTTCCTTTCCGTAAGGTAATGAACTGACTTCTTCTAGGTTGAAAGCAGCAGATTTTCGAGCTACAACACAGCTATCATCGTCCGAGGCATCATCTAAGCATTCCTTATTCACTTTGCTCGCAAATATATCTAGTGCTCGTGGAGGTCTGAAGATAAAAACAACAGTTAACATACCGAACTAATGTATTCGACAAAGTGTCGTCATCATCATCACTCCACGCAGCTTTTAAAGTCTGTTTTTGAGAATCAGGTTTCTCAACAACTTTAATTTTCCGAGACTTTTGACTTTTCCTACCAACTTTTGGCCTCTTGTACTGAAAAAAATAAGAGAAAATACTGCTTACGGAAAGTTCAGGGACACTAGTAACTATTTGGAATTCATCGGTAGGATTAGCAATATTAAACTTTAGCATTATACAACCACGCGCTAAAATCCGAAGCAGGCGCTGTTTATCTCAAGGACGAGAAGACTGAAATATTTTTCCGATCTTCGGTTTCCTTGATAAAACCTCATGCGCCGGAATTTTTCTATGAAGAAAGTTCAAGAACATTTACAGGACCTACATGATGTGTTTGCAAAGTTAAAATGCTTGGTTTTATGCCCCTGGATGACTTGAGAAACCTCCATCAATATATCATGGCTAACAGCTGAAATCAATGATACTGAAGTTAACCCACGAGACTTTGCCGTGTGTAACACAGGCAGGTTAACTCACTGAGGTGGAGCATTTGCCGTCTTCCCAAAAAAGAATTTAGCCTTGCGTAGCTAGGCGCCACCTGCACAGGCAGATAACCTCTCCAGAATCTTCACACATCAGTCTCAACCAACTTTGGCACGACTGATGTCTGGTGGATTCCATTTACACCGACCGAAAAGTAGAGTCTTGATCCGTAAGCGAAACACACATGGAAATGGAGAAGGCGTGGTAATCGACATCCAGGGCTTTCTCAATAACCCAGCGGCTCATTTGGCCGGTAAATCAACTATCACCTTCGAGATATTCCACTTACATGGAGCTTTGCCACGTGTCTGAAAGTATGAAGCTTTTAACCCTCCCCGTGAGTGAGAATGCAGATAGTATCCTTCAAACTACAGACCTAAAAGTCTAGACGGTGCCTCAGTCAATATCCTGAGAAGAATATTCGAGGCAAGATATTGTAGCATATTCGGAAAATAATAACATCTCGCTCAATGCACTGCACAGCTTCTGTGGTAATCTTCTGTATCCGACAAACTTAACAGCAATGGAAAAGTGAGTCCACTTCAGGAACAACAGGAACCCAATCGACGTTTCCATAGGTTTTGACTGCTGGTGAAGCTGAAAAACTTTGAAATCATCAGAGACCTGCTCAATGGGACCAAGAAGGTTCCAGTGAGATGGAGACAAACAGTCTGGGCTAACTCTAAACTATTTCTCCGAAAAATGTACGATCATGAGCCTCGGGTGCGCAAGTGTCATCACGTATTATTTGAGTATCTCTCCCCTAAGTTTAGAGCAAAGGATAAATGTATCACAGCAAGTCGTGACCTAAAACCCAAGGCACGTGGTTGCCCAGTCGCTTCATATCTTCCTATCAATACATCTGGCCTTCACTGAGATCACCTGTGACGTTTATGACTTTATATACATATGTGATGAAGTCAAAATAGCAAAATCCATCTGTGCAGACAGTGCTTCCTGAAGAGTGGGCTTATATATCCTGCAGAGAGTTCAAAAGAAGGCCGCACCTATGATTCTTAGCACGACCGAGAGAATACACGACAGCCTAAACCTCTTCTCTCTGTCATTTCACAGCCAGGAAGGAGGTGCAGTTCCAATGTCTAAATTTCTAAGAAATGTCTACAGACCTGATCTATTTACTCTTTTACTTCCCACCTGGTCACAGCAAAAGAGTTCGGAAGCCAGAGGAGAACTTTGTTGCTGAGATGTGCTGGTTCTCGCCTCGAGTAGTTAACCCTCGGAGGCAACTCTTAGAAGAAGTAATGTCTGCGCTCTCAGTCAACTTGTTCTTGAGAGGATTAGACAAGCACGAATACTTATCAGAAAAAGATCAACCCTCAAACAAATTCTGAGTCTGAAACACGTTCCTCATATTTGGCCCTTGTGATTAAGGGCTAAGCGATGGATCCCTCAAGTTAACTCCTTGCTAAGAGATGTATATATGGTTTTTTCATCATTATTTCTAGTCAACCAACTGGCAGAAAACACACCTGATTTCTCAAGATAGCTTCCTCAATTTAATAACTTGATAAGAGAACCAGACTTCCACGATTATGAATTTCGTTCTCAACTACTGAACTTCTCAATAATTGCAGTCAAGATGGTTTACCCCAAGGGGAGGATAAGAAGTATTAGATAATGTCAGTAGAGACGCTTTAAATTTCTGAATACTTGAGTATATTGGTTTGGCTTTTTAATTCCACCCCCATTTGTCAAGCCTTCATTTCTAATTTATAGCCTCTACAATACTGGGACATCCTTTCGTCCTATTTGAATAGTTTTGGGGACAATTCTGTCTGAATAGTTCTAGTGTTACAAATTGGAGCCCAGAAGAAGCAGGTGTGGGGTCTAGTGTATCGGATACACCATGTTGTTGAATTTGCCTAGAGAATGCTTTAAATTAAACCACCATCTTAGACTCGTGACGTAGCATGCCATGAACATTGGTATGCATCTGAAGTTAACGACGAAAACTTCCATTGGCCTCGTATTTATGGTCTTTTGCCCAGATATGTCGGCAGACGTTAAATGTTCTTCGGACAAGCTTGATGGTACTAACTTAGTGTTTGATCACTTCTCCGTCTCCCACTGAAAGAAATCCCCTGGATCAGTTGAGTGGGCACTTTGGTGAACCCAAAACTGACTGGTTTCGTAAGCAATAAAAGATGTGGCATCGTGAGGAATGAACTACTAATACATTCCAAGATAAGAATGACCATCCTGCTGTAACTTCCAAACATAATCAGGATTTCTTCTGCCGTTTAAGAGCCTGACAATCAAATTAAAACTATACTTTTTCTGGGCAAAGTACACCTGCCGCTTAATTGAACCATAGTGGATTTATCAACCATCAACTACAGAATTTCCCCCCGAAAATGACCACGAATGCCACGAATCATCCACACTAAGGATAGTGGCAGCAGAACTCATAGTTGACAAATCTTGTTGGTCATTTCGTACGCCAGCACACTTTTGGATAACATGATTTTATTTGATATGTGAACGTCATGGAACTTGCGACAATTCAATGGTATCTTCCTATTAATGATATGCCTGCCAAATTCCTACCGACTGCAAATCTGGTCTTCCCAGCTTCATCGAAATTTACCAACGGAACAATGTGTGTAACGACATTGATTTCCTGGTGTCTGATTATTTATTAGTATTTGGAAATATTTTTTTCAACCTTGCCTGGATTAGTAGCTAACTAGTTTTTTAGCAGGTTCCAAGCCCGGGTTAAAAGGAAAAGTTGGACGTGAGGCTAGTGACCCCACGCCAAAAAACTAGTCAAACTGCTGCAGAAACTTCAATGCATAAGAAAAATACTAAAAATACAAAAGATAGAGAGGGCAAACTGATTCTCCTGTGGAATCGGGGCGTGCGAAATGACACAGCAGGCTGCTGAAACCACGCCTTGGGAAAGCCAGCCGGTTGATTTGTCCTATCTAGATGAGAGCAAGAATAAGAATGGGGACGTGGAATGTACGTACAATGTACGAGGCCGGCAAGGCTGCTCAGGTGGATGTGGACTGCCTAAAATGTCAACTGGAGAGCCAGTAATATACCCTGTTCACCTGGACAAAAGCCACAAATGCACTCAGGGAGTGGGCATAATGATGTCACCAGTGGCAGCCATTGGGAACCAGTACCATACAGGATCATGACAGCAAGATTCAACTCAAAAGGAAAGAAAGGTGCAATTATCCAGTGTTACGCAGAGTGCTACAAACAACGCGGAACCAGACAAGAAGCGTTTTACAGACAACTACGAATAGTATTGGACAACATCCCAAATGATGACATCAAAATCCTCATTGGAAATATGAATCTAAGCCAAACTGTGGGTATGTGATACAGGAAGAGAGCTTATCATGGGTCGAGAGGCTCTCAACTGGGGAATGAGAACGGAGAACCATTGGCAGATCTCTGCGCTTTCAATGATTTGGTGATCGGAAGGAGCATGTACAAACACAAGGATATACAGAAAGAAACATGGATTTCGACTGACGGACACACCATAAAACCAAATAGATTTCATATCAACGCTGCCCAAGACAGTGGAGACGCAGCCTGCTGGACACAAAGTTGAGAGGAGGAGCAGATGTGGGCTCAGACCATCATCTAGTTCGAGGAACCTTCAAGTTGAAGCTGAAATCCATGAAAACAAATGGTGACAGGACGCTGTAATACAAGTTCAACATTCAGAAACTGAAGGACATAACTAGAAGTGGTACCTCTAATGAGGATCAGATAAGAGCGTTACTTCTAGTTGAAACCGACTGGAAGCGAGATCAAAATAATTCAAGCAGCCTAACCAGCTTGTTTCCTGAAATGCCCCTTATATTACTGCTTTGAAGCAACCACTGTACGAACTGGTTTTCTGACGTAGGCTTTTTATCACTTCACACTTAATCATTGTGTATGGTGTCGCGGCTGGACGGTGAAGTATGAGTCCCCATACCTGGTCTTTAGCCTGATAAGATTTAAGACAATGCTATACCTGTCAGTGTACTACTCTGGTTGAGAAAACCATAAATCGGTGTCATGTTCATCCTCTTAAGGGAATCTCATAAAGCCTTAAAAATCACAAAGATATAATTCCGCGGCTACGTAGTTCACCAAAACTTCTTGACAAATCTAGGCACTGAAAGAATGAATAAGGTTGCTCGCAATAATATTTACTGGTTCCAAATCGTCAAACATGTCGAACGTTGTTCCAAGATACAGCTAATGTTCCAAAGCAGCAAAATATTCAGACAACAAAGAACTATAATTTCGCCACAATCAGAAAAATATGGCGTCTTGTTCACACTGATTTTGCTGGACCAGTATGCAGTATGTAACTCAGAGTTTAGGTGGATTGATTTTCCTAATAGTCAAAGGGCTTTTCATATGCATTATGAGAAATCTCACACAACAATGACCCAGCGACGCCATCTATTCTGCAGTGGTACCCCACAACGGATCTCAGGTGACACTGTCAGTACTCTGAGATGCTTGGAAATCACCCCGGCATCCAACTAACTCCTGCCACTTAGCTATTCCTGACCAAACGATATGACAGAAAGTCTGATCGACACCTTTAATCGAGATTTCAAAAAGGTGACGGGGTGATAAAAGAAACATTCGATAAATGTTTGTCACACTATCAGTTTACAGTTTACAATTTATTTAGGATAGTAGGCTATATG